ATACACATACCCAAGCAAGTTTTAAACTAAACGTAGCTTGGATACTAATAACACAATGGTTATGGCTGTCCTGGCTTTGGGCAAGGACCTTAAGAAAAGTATGCAGCATCTGCAGCTCCATTACTATTGGTATTCTATGAAAATGACAAGGATAGATAGATATGGGTAGATATACCTGATGTCTACCACAGTGGATACTGTTTCTAATAAATTTCTGCAATCAATCCCTGAATCTCTCTAACTATAGTTTGTCCAGCTCACTTCAACACAGTATTAAAAGGTTAAATACTTGGACAGAAGCTAACTGCCCTACACAAATCATTCACCTCCCAACCTTTCAACCCAGATTTTTACTCAGCACTTTGAACCCAGCAATACATGTTTCTCTTCTTCCCAAGCAAGACACGCATGTAAACCTGGGAATCCTGCATTAAACTGGAAAAATACTTTTTTGTGAACCCAAGTTCTGAATGGCAAATAGAGCTCTGGGTGCTCAGTCGTGCTGAAAAAAAAAAAATCTAACCCCAAATGTAATCCAGTATACACAAAAATACAAAACGGAACGTTTTAACATAGTCTTCCGCCCAGGACCCTACTAACCAATTATCTTGGTTCTTCAAACTCTCAAATCATTGAAAAATGGACTGTTCTGATTCCCAACCCTTTAACCAGATGACTTTAAAAAGTAAAGTTTAGCAGGATGATCAGCTGAAGATTACATCAAAGAGAAGGAAATTCCTTTGTGTTTAAGCTATATAACGTATAGAATATACCATTTTCAAATGTTTCAGTATGTTAAGAAAGCATTAGGCTAATTCCTGTCAAGACTTTAAGAAAGTGTGAAACCAAGAGAAACAAATGCTGAACTAAAGGAAAGATTTTTTTCACTTCATCTAAAAATAACACATGAACATTTCTTTACCATTACTTACTGCAAAAGCATACTCCCAATGCCCAAAAATCTTTAAAATACCAGTACATCATGCTTTCTTTCCATTTTAAATGACTGAACATCTCTATCAAATTGGTTGCACTGCTAACTCAAGAGCCTTCTTGTAATAAGAATCAAGCAACTTTAACAGAGTACAAACATTAAGCCAAAATCTTCTACGTTAGTTAAAAACTGGCATCAAAAACTCACCTGATTACAAGAAATAAGATCTCTCAGAAGAGGACAATGTTCTTTCCAAATGGAGGGAAATATGAAAGGAGAGATATTCTATCTTGCTTGTTTTTCTGAAATGTTTTTGCCTTTCATGCAAAACTGTTTTGTTTTTTTCTGTGTAATCCAATTAGCATTGTTTGTAACACCTACTGACTTTAAGGAGAGCTAGGAGAACTCGATTTAATTTAGAAACTTAATTATGGATTTAGGGTATCAGACTTCATGCAAATAACTTGGAAATATTTGTAGTTATCAATATACCAGATTTTACGTTTTAGAGTAGAAAAGATTCAGTATCTCAGAGGCAATGGTAAAATAGTTGTATATCTTAACTTAGTACAAATCCCAAGATTGAGTGGAGGAAAATCTATAGGATTTGAGGCATAGAGTTGCACAGATATGAATCCTCAAGCAGAATTCAACATAACGTTAGTAATGACCCCTGACTATGCAGTATTGTTTCTTGAGGGCACTGACATAAACATATTTAAGGATTAGTCAGCCACCATTCTTTTCTCAAATTTCCACATGTATCCCTGCACTTTGCTTTAGTAGCAACTAACACACTAGACCATTGCAGAACCTAGCAAATTCCATGGCAGGCTGTAGGGTCTTTCTAAACACAAAAACCATATCCATATAGCACAATTATTTAAATCGAGTTTACATCATCCTTTAAATAAAGAATCAATTTTAATATGTCATCACAAGTTATTTGAGGGTAGAGTGGGGTGTTATTGTCTTAGGAAAGATTCCAAATATAAAACTCTTTTAGACAGCTAATTACTGCACAGTAAGAGTTACCATCTACATATGCAGATGCTTATTAAGCAGTTATATGCTCTAATCATAAGTAAATTTCCTACCTGTAAATACAAGTAGCAAATTTACTCTTGATTACTTACTGCACAGTACGGCACATGTAGACAGCTGTAGACAGCACATTTGCTCCCAGTCAGCTGGGCAGCGGAGGGTGGGAGACTGCTCCCTGTCCCCGAGAGCTGCCTGTTGCTGAGGGGAGCTCCACCAGTGGAGCCTGGTTGGGGAGCTCCCAGTCCCTGCTTCCCAATCGCAACTGGGGAGCAGCAGCTGGGAGATTCTTAGCTCCGAGCCCTGGCCCTGCAGTTGTGGAGCTTGGGCTAGGAGATAAGAACCTCCAAGCCTGCGCCGCGCGATTGTGGAGCAGGGTCTGGGATCTCCCTGCTGCTGGGATTGCGAAGCCCACCCCAGCAGCAGGCAGCTCCTGGGGGCAGGGAATAATATCTCAGCCCCTGCTAGGAGACAGCTGTCTCCTGGCCCCATGCTCCCTGCCAGCCCCTGGGATAGCACAAAGGGAGAGCATAGAGCTCTCCCTGGCTGCTGCAGGGGCACAGTACAGGGCCACAGGGAGTGGGAGCAGTCTGTTGCTAGGAGCAGCAAATCTACTTCTGCATCTCAGCATGTGGAGATGCATGCCCGGGACAGGTTACTCTAGAGTACAGGCAGTCCTCAACTTACGACTGTTCGAGTTACAACAAATGTCACTTACGACCTTTGTAAACTATAACAGTGTTTCGAGGCTCTGACTGGGTTTCAACTTTGCGACACTAGATACAGCTGCCTCCAGCTGGTAAGTCTGCTGTAGTGAGGCATGGGTGCACAGATCAACGCCCCTGCAGCAAGGGAGGGACTCAAGCTGTGGCTGGGATAGGGGCTGCCCAGTGGGTAGGAGGTTGCGGGGAGTTGGTGGGGTGGCTCCTGCCGCTGCATGCTGACCGCCTGGAAGAACACCGGGTGGAGGGAGGGGGAATGTGCCCCCGGATCTGCACAGGGTGGGCAGGGCCAGGACTGCGCCGGGCTGTGCTCTGGGCTGGCAGTGGAAGGCACTGGGAGCAGGGGCTATGCCCTCCTGCTGCTAGGTGAGCAGCACCAGGGCATGGCGGAGGCATGTGCCCTCAGATCTGCACAGGGCAGGTGGGGCTCCACTGGGCTGTGCTCCGGGCAGGCAGCAGGGGCTGCGGCAAATTTTAGGGTTGCTGCAGCCTCCTCACAGCCCTTGCTTCGCCGCCTGCCCCGATCCGGGGGCACCTCCCCCAGGGTGGGGTGGGGAGAAGCCGTGGTTTGTCCACGAGGTGCAGGGAGGCCAAGGCGGCTCCAGCCGCTGTGCACTGCTTGTCCGGAGGCAATGCAGCGGCTTTGCTCTGTGCCGGCTGGGCGAGCGGCAGGAGGGCACAGCCCCACTTTCAGCACCTTCCTCCGCCAGCCCAGAGCACAGCCCGGTGCAGCCTAAGCCATGCCTGCCCCGTGCAGATATGGGGGCACACTCCCCTCCATGCCTTCCCGGATCAGTGGCAGGAGCAGTGGTGAGAGCCACCGGACGAGCCGCCAAACGAGCAGCTTGTGGACTGGTGGGCCACAGCAGTGGGAGCCGCCCACCCCCTTCCCACGCCCCCCCTTGCCACCAATTGCCCCAGCCCCTGTCCTGGCCCTAGCCCCAGCCCCAGCCCCAGCCCCAATCCCTCCCTTGCTGCGGGGGCATTGATCTGCCCCACCACCCCAAAAGACTTACTAGCTGGAGGTAGCTGTATTGAGCGTGGTAAAGGAACCAATCCGCCATTTATAACATTGTTCCTATGGGAAAACTGATTCCGACTTACAACGTTTCGACTTAAGACGTGGTTTTCAGGAACCAATTGTGTCGTAAGTCTGAGGACTGCCTGTAGTTTATTCTGAGTAAACTGATCCCACATTTTTTGCATGTGTAGATGCGCCGTTTATGTTCTACAGTTTTGGGTTTTTTCAGTGTTTGATTGCATTACTAGAATTAGTTCTCTTATGATTCTAACTATTTTTATAGGTGTATACTTTCATTAGTTTGTTTTCAATTCACATTCTTGATATCCCTACAGAAGGATAGATAGTCATTCCTTTCCAATTACCAGAAAGAACAAAGTAGGGAAACCTATGTTTTGAAAAATATGTCAGTTCATCAAGCCATTGCTTTGATTATATAAAATAAAATGGTGCTCACTGGACACGTTATTGGGGAACATCAAATAATTTTAGTATTTGATTCCTTCTGCAAAATACATGACCTTTGACCTTTTATGGTGGAGATATGGGTTATTTACCAACTTATCACAATAACATGCCATCAGTTAAAAAAAAAGAAAATGTTAGATAAGGGAAGAGCAATTTGTAGGATTTTATATACATAGAGTGCCTGTAGATGTGCAGGACACCTGCTCTGGCACGTGACATGCTGTACTTAGAGCACATTGGAGCAGACTTGATTAATTGAGTCTGCTGGAGCATGCCACCAGCCTCAGAATGTCATGTATTCAATGTCCTGCTCTTCAAAATGGCAGCGGGGATATTTTAACTAAATCTCATTGAACGAGCTTTAGTTGAAGTGCCACCACTGAAATTTTGAAGCATGGGACCCTGAATACACGAGATGCTGCGGGCACTTCCAGCCCAAAGCAGCTCCCACTTCCTGAGAGCTGCTCTAATTAAAGTGCCTCCCCCCCGCCCCAGAGCACATGTAAAGACATCCGTAGGTATTTTGACAGAACCCACAGAGGGAACTTTCATAATTTTTAAGACTTTTTCCATTTGTTTTTCTAAATAACTGAATTACACCATTTGAGATGCTGAGGCAACTTACTAATAACCATTAAGTTTAGAGACTGACAGAGTAAACAACATGTCCCCAGGATATAAAGTCATGCATTTAAATTTCAGAACACAGTAACAAATGTTTTTCATCTACTACGTACTCTTACTAGGTACATTTGGAAAGCCAGTTTTGGAAACATTAACCATTGGTAAAATCTAAATGAAAAAGTAAAATTACCAGTCGTTCCATCTCCTGTTCTCGAAGCCTCTCTTCCCTCTGTCTCCGGTGATAGTCCATTAGGTCTTCTCTTCCAGTTACTGAACTAATACTGTTCTTTCTCTCTCGAATGGAAGGGGGCAAAGAAGTTGGTGTTTGTCGGAAGCTTTCCAACTCCGTTTCATCAAACTCCATGGAACTAGTGGAAAGGTTTCTTCTGACAGAGAATGATCTGTCAATATCCACAGGGGAGAATGAGTTACTGGGGCTTGTCCCTGAGAGTCCAAGTCTATCAAAATCATCAGAAACATATGAAGAAGAAGATGCTAAAAGCATTTTTTTAGCTAGCCTAGGGCTTGAAGGAACACAAAGAGCTGAGCTAACATAGGAATTATTATCAGACGCAGAATTTATAAACGGTGAAACCCCTGAGCTGCAAGAAGAAAAATTAAGGTAATTATCAGCATCTAGTGCACTTTGAGGTAGATCTTTTTCTCCATGCTTTTTCCTCTTGGAGTTACCAAGAGAGTTTCTTGGTGGCAAACTTAATGGCATCAGCTGGCTTTCTGTCGATTTGTACAGTCTAGGCAGAGAACGACTATAAACTCCCATATGACTAAGAGACCCACCAGAATATTTCCTAGCTCTTGAACCCAAAGCTTCAGTCATCACCTCCTTGTGTTTCACTGGTCTTGGATGAAGATTTAGACTATCTTGAATATTCATCCTCCTGCCCTGCTTTGGGCTGGAAGGCATGCTTGCTGCTCCTGAAGTGCTAACAGGTGAAAGCATCATTTCACTCCCTGAGCTTCCATTCCACATTGTAAGAAGAGAGCCTGAGTTTTTCTTCCCGTCCAGTGTTCCTGGGAAGTAGACGTTGTCATACGATTTATTTTTTTGACTATACTTGGAATAGTGAAATTGATCCACATGTCCAAAGGATTTCTCGTTTTCTCTGTTGACATGAATGTCAAAGTCGCTCCTTCCTAGATTGTACCCACTGAGGGATGGAGAAGTACTTGAAATGGAACTCATGGGCTTTACAGAGACACTTTTTTCTGAAAAGTAAGGGCTGTCACAAGAGAACAGCTTACCTCCTGGAATTCTGGTAGCAGAATGCATATTTTTTACACTGGATGAAGGACTGGATTTAGTTGACACAGGTTGTGACAGGGTTAAGTAGGAACCAACGTAATCCCCATTTGTTTTAAATTTAAGGCTTGATGAATATTTCTTTGAGCTGAGGTTATCCATAATATCTTGGAGATCGTTTTCAAGGGAATTTGCCACAGAACCTTTCCCTAAACTAGCATTTTGTAATTCCATCTGGTTTTGTATGTGGCTATATTCTGCCATAATCTTACTGGGATCTGTAAGAAGGAAGAAAAAAAATAGCTTTCAGCAAATAAGTGATTACCACAATTCTGCAATCCATGTCAGAATAATTAGTAACAATAATTACACAAGTTATCCATACTTTACAAAGGTGTTGGAGTCCTCTAACTTTATTTTACAGGACGGGAAACTGAAAGCGAGACATCTGGCATTGTTGCGTATAACTGGTAAAGACCCTGGGTGCCCTGTGTGATGCCCTATCCACTTTAGAACACTCTTTGAACGCTCTTTCTCTCCTTTTGTTTCCCTAGAAAAGGCTTATAAAAAGTATATAGCACAGAAGCAGGAACCAGTAACTCCTGAGGGGTTGGAAGGTCCCAACCCTTCCATCTCTGTAACATTTATGTGCATGGCTCCCAGCACTGTAGTATTTATGCATCTCCCAATTGTTAATATACTATTGATCTTCACAACTTCCCAGTGGAAGCACGAAATTGCCATTATCCCCATTTTACAGAACAGAAATCAAGGCATGGAGAGAATGATTAGTGATTTGATTAATGTCATGCAAATTCTACAAAAGAGCAAGGAATCAAACATGTCTCAAGTCCTAGACAGCTGCCCAATGCTGGACCATACTTTCAGTCTAATCATTGTAAGCCATGCACTATAGGCCCGATCCAAAGTCTGTTGTGTTTCCATTTACTTCAGTGATTTTTGGGTATGAATATAAACAAATCTTCCTCAGCCTTAGTTTCCTCCACTGCTAAGTAAAAATATCACCTGTTTCTCAGTGGCATCAACTGTTTCAGTTTAGGTCCCTAATGACTACAGAGTACTCAAAATATGAAAAGCTCTATAGATGCAGTAAATTATGTTACTTAAAATACAGTCTTAAAGACATACAGAAACATGAAGTGAGATACTTTGTCTTCATTAAAGGAGAATTAAATATTTGTGATAAACACAGCTGTTTAAAACCACAGACACCAAAACAGATCATGACACATTCTTATTTTGTTGTTGTTTTTGTTGTTCAATTACATACCAAATTCTATCCCGCCAGTTTTGAGTTTCTCTTCCTAGCAATGACATCTTTAATACCTAAAGCACAGAGGAATGCAAACTCCTACACTCCTTCTGTCAGTGACAGCATCAGTCGTTGCAGGAGAACTGCAGAACCATAAGGGGACTTGATTTTCGGCTTTGGCTGATACAAAAATATGTCTCAGTTACCCTTTAAAGCAGCACTTTGAAGAGTTAGGCAAGTTAAGGCAAGCTGCATTTGAACTAAATGAAGCAACAGCTTTTTCAGTACTGAGGACCTATGGGTGTTTTTATATATGCTCCAGAGGTAGGGGGCGTGCTTTAATTAGAGCAGATCTAAGAAACCACTCTTATTAAAGCACCCACGGGGTGTCATGTATCAGCATCTCCACACTTCAAAACAGTGACGGGGGTACTTTAACTAAAGTTCTTTCAACAAGTTTTAGTTAAAGCACCCCACCACCATTTTGAAGCGTGGGGACACTGATACACGAAACACAGAAGCTGGATGGAGCATACTAATTAGCACACCGGCAGACTCAATTAATCGAGTCTGCTCTGATACAGTGTAATTATAGCATGTTTGGAGCAGCCTCCCAGCATGTCTACAGGCACCCTATAGTCCTGCATGAAGTCAATGGAAGCTATAGAAAGCTGACAATAAATCCCTACTTTGTTTCTACTCTTGGTTCAGTCAAAATTCATCTGTGACCTTCATCAAATAATATAAAAATATGCCTACATAGTACAACCCAAATACTCCTTAGTATATGAAGTATTTTGAGTTCTTCAAATTAAATGTATTAGATCAATCCTCTCGGAAAGATCAATCCTCCCAAAAGGTAGCAAGATACAGAAAGTTTTAGAATGCTATCATAATCTTGAACAACAACAACAAAAGTAAAGGGAAAGGACAGTGCCATGGATAATGTGACTGAACAGGTAATGAATTAAATTAATATGCACTCTAAAAAGAAAATACATATGAATGTGAAGGGTACCTCATTTCTCTTCACCACATGTACACAGTGAAATGTTTCAACAGTTACTAATTACAATATTATCAAATGTCTGAAGGGACTACCTGTAGCTTCAGACACAATCCCAACAGTCCATCTCGATACATGCCTTCATGCGTTAAGGTTGTTTAGCAATTTATTTTACAGAGTCAACTAGTATTAAAACATTAGTGCCTCTGGGCATGTCTACACATGCTTTTATGCGTGCCTAAACTTAATGCACATTAGCCTAATGTGCATTAAGGCAATTTAAGCAGGCATCTATACGTGCACATGCTCAGGCACATTAATGCAGGTGTGCAGACTGTTTTTATGCAAGTATCAAATTTAGGCTTGAATAGCTTAAAATTGCCATTTTTAAGATGCATTAAGGGCACACATGTTGATGCTCACCTTAAATTGGGCTAATGCACATTAAATGCACATGTGTAGACATGTCTTTTGATGACTAATTATTTGGATTGAACCAAAGAGTTTACAACTGAAAGGCTTCATATCTTAATATCACTACTTTGAGCCAGACTGTTAAGGGATGTGAAATTTTATTTTAAAATTTAAATACTACTTGTGCAAGTTTTGATAAAGAACAAGCAAACAAAGCTAAAAGTATTCTTTAACACAACATACACAAGTAAAACAAAATAAAACCAGCCTTAAAAAATAATTTTAAGTAGGGTTTAAAAATTCAAAACAGGAATACTAAAATGTGAAACTTATTTGTGATTAACAAATTGCTCTACATATTTATCCCTCTATTCTTAACAATGCTTTGCATCTAAGTCTTACTACCCCTCTTGCCTAAAGTTCTCTGAAACGTTCTGTTAATCTCACAATAAACGTTTACTATTCAAAAGAGTATCATGACACAACTGACAAAAGTAGCTTTCGAGCATTTTTAATGTTTCCAATCGCTCTCAAATTGAACAATATAGAGGTAGATTCATGGAATTTTAAACAGAGTTTATTACTTTTTTTCAACACAAGGAGGATCATATTTAATCTTGTGAAGAATAAAACTGTTTGCCAGAAAAACAAGTTAGCTCATGGAAATCTTTCGTGAAAGTCTTACGATAAAGAGTTCATTGTACTTGAAATCTGAACAACAAAAGCAAACAAAAATCAAAAATCAACAATACCTCCATTGTAGTCAATTGAATTGAACTATTCCTTATTTTTTACCTTATGCCATTTCCTCTGCATTTTGGCCCCAATTCTTCAAACCCTTAGGCACATGCTTAAAGTGCTGAAAAACATCAGTGTGTATCCAGTATACAACTAACTGTATTTAAATGTCTGTCCATAAATCAACCCTCCTTTGATTGTTTTTTAAAGTGTTGTGTCAGATAACACACCAGGACTTTTCAGACATTCTTGTTGACACTCCCTCCACATGCTATTGTGAAGACTAGCAGCAGGGTGTTCTTCGTGTCATGTAAGAAATTTGTTCCCTCTGGAGGTCAGCCAGGGCTCTAATTGGTTAACCTCCAACACATTGTGCAAGGCTCCTCTTTTGAGCCAAGTGTTTTCTGGATGAAGTTATTCTAAGGCAATTTCTTTCCTTTTCTTACTTGTCTTGTCTCGTCTCCCTGACTAGGTGGTTAACTGATGCCTATTGTAGGTAGCAAATATTGAGCTCTATTTTTTTGTATTTGTTTGTGATGTATGCCAAAGCTATAGCAATGGCTTACTGTTTGTAGGTAAAATGAAGTAGAGAGATAAGAGCAGAAAAGTGACCATTTCTAATTGAAGATTAAATTACAGGATCAAAATCAAGGATGTCTTTAGAAATGTGCCAATTCCATTACAAAATAACTAATTTGTTCCATTTGTTACCTGTTTGAATGCTCTGGAAAGAGGAGAAGTTACCTCGGTTTGGCATCATATTTTTCTTCTATCCAATGGTTAAAACAAAGATAGCTTGAATGAGCCAGGTAAATACTGACCTGCAAATAAGTAATAGAAGGAACAATATTACTTTAACAAATACATGCTGAAAATTGATTTACAGGTACTTTAAAAAACACAATGAAATTAAGGTTCTGTGATGCTGAGAGTCTTCTGGCTGAGAGGAACAACACAGACATCTGGACCCTTCACAGGTCGGTCAAAATTAGGGATGTCAAAATTAGGCTTGATGGTAGAGATTTATTTTATCAGTATGAACGTCTGTGCAACTTTTTATTGGTTTCTTTTACTCCTCAAATGAAAAAAAAAAATCATTAGCTCATCCTCTTTTCCTGTAAGAGAGGGAGTGCCTGTGGTTATTCATCAGGACTATGATTTCTTTGTAGAGCCTTGTCTAAGGGTTTCCTTAAAAATCATTAAATTCTGAAAACTTATCTCAGTGGGTCTCTTTCTGAGACATGGCGGGAAATAAGTTGAAAAGTGCTATAAAAACAATGCACTAGAACAAAATCTAATATCAACAGCCTCACAGTCAAAACCCTATATCTAAAACGGGTGCACAAACTAACACTCTGTAAATATTTTGGCAGACACAAATTCCCCTGGTAAAAAATTACACCCTTAGAGGGGGAAAAAAAGATGTTTTCATGTTTATATAAAAATGTCTACAGATGGTTACAAACTTTTAAAAATAATTTCAACTGTGATATCTGTGCCATTATTTAGAGATCCAAAAATTTAGACACACCAAAACCACTCTTGGAAGTATCAAGTATGTTTTTCTGTAAAAAGTAAAGAATAGTAAAATGCATTTAACTAATTTGAATGCACTTAAAAAATGGCTGTAATAAAAAAACTCTACTCTGCATCAAGTTATGTTCTTCATGTCTGAGTTCACTGTACTTCAAGGACAGTAATAACTAAAGGAAAACACCAAAGAACAGAAGTAGAGACATAATGTTTGTTAAAAGTCAAGGCACCCATTTAACTAATAAGTCAGAACTTCAAATTATACATCTTAGTCTTTTTGCCTAGAATTTTCTTGTGAGGCCTTTGTACATTATTCTCTTGACAGAGGTCCAGAAGGTCAAGCCTGGCAAAGTACAGAATAATTTCAACAAAGAACTTTTCTCAGAACAGCTTATATCTCTTCCTATCATATTGGCTTATACAGGGAACCCCCACTTAGCGCTCTTAATTGGTTCCTGAAAAGCCGAGCGTTAAGTAAAACGAATGTTAAACGAAACCGAAAGTAATTGATGATCCAAGATGGTGACCACAAGTGTTTTTAATGACCCAAGATGGTGACTGCGAATGTTATAGTGAAACTTGCTGAGTGCTAAGTGAAATCAGGTATCAATTTAAAATGAGCATTATAGTGAAACAGCACTGAGCGAAACAGCTTTAAGCGGGGGTTGCCTGTATAGTTGGAACATGTCCTCTGTCCTTGTTCAACAAGCCCCTTCCCTATGCTTTGTCATATCCTCTTTTCTTAGAGCTCACTTCTTGAGTAATTTCGAGGCATTTTCTCAGTGAAAAATTATGCTTTTTATGGTCATTTTAATTATTTTTTTATGATGCTTTTTCTCAGCGACTTCTGCCTGAGGACAGTTTTCACTCCATCAGTGTGGTAAGGAGGGACTTGTCCTTCTGCCACCCTTTCCCTTGCAAGGATATAAAAGTTCTAATATTTTACAAAAAATATTAGGTAGGTCACTCCAGAAATTATCTAACAGGAAGACACAGCCATGCGCCTCCTTAAAGGGACTCCTCTGAGCATTCCAGCTTGGAAGAGGCAGGAAATAGCTCCCGACCCTCAGTTTTAAGTTCAGCCTATTAGCGCTTCATGTCAATGTGCCAATAACTCTGAGTTTACTGCTACTTTCTCCCTTCTATGGATTCTCCTTAGCTCTCTGAAGAACTAAGATTTATCTTTGTTCCCTCTATCTTCCAGTTCTTCCAGCTTTTACTCACAGCTGCTCCAGTTAACTCCCCCTACTCAAAACACAGCTTTCCTCAGCTCCTCTTCCAGCCGAGTAAGATGAAGTGCAGAAGTCAGTCCATCAGGAGTGATTTTCTTAGTCAGCCAATGAGATCATTCAACCATAAAGATGGTTTTAGTCCCTCTAGGGGCTCAAAATACTTCATGTACAATCCCTGTGAACTGACTGAGAGCAAAGCAAAATACCAAGCTTTCAGCCCTCTGATACTGTGCATGACACTGGGCATGTCTACACGTGCTTTTATGCATGCCTAAACTTAATGCACATTAGCCTAATGACCATTAAGGTGACTTAAACACGCATCTACACATGCTTGAGCTAAGGTACATTAACGCAGGTGTGCAGATTGACTTGGGACTAAAGTAGGTCCCAAGTCAATGAACACAGACCACATTAATGCGCATTAGCGCGTCTATACGTTCGCTAATTCAGCTTAGCTATTTGTACATAAATTTAATGCAGGTATCAAGTTTAGGCTCGAATAGCCTAAAATAACCATTTTTAAGGCACATTAAGGGCATTCATGTGTAGATGTGCACCCTTAATGCACCTTAAATTGGGCTAATACACATTAAATGTGCACATGTAGACAGCCCACTGTGTAGTCATTGTGGCTAAGTACAGACAGTCAAAAAGCCTGAGGCAGATTTGATCCAACCTTTGGGGGTTTCTCTAAGCTGGGAAGATTGGATCATGAGCAAATGTAACACGTTTGCCCTTGTAGGGGGGCAGGGGAAGCAGGCAAATGCCCGCTCTGGCCAGGACAGAAGATAGGGGGAGGGGACACTCCCGCATACTTCCCAGCCTGGCAGTCAAGCCCAGTCAAGCAGGGCTATCAACGATTGGCTCTCAAGCACATGACCCCAGCTCCCCCCTAGGCTCTAAAACTGGTAGCCATGGTGGCCCCAAGGGAGGCAAGGATGAGGAAGAAACAGAGCCCCCACACCATGGGCAACTCCTTCCCCCAGCGGCTAGGTCCAGCGTGGGGCGGGGCTAGTGTGATTGCCCAGTGGGGCTGAAGGAGGAGGAAAGCTGGGATGAAGAAAGCTCCTGCCATGGTACCCGCCCACACTGTGTAGATCCCAGCTGGGAGGGGCTGTGGCAGGGGCCTCCATTCCCCTCACTGCTGGCCCCGCATGTCCCGCACTGGCTTTGCTGCTTCGGCTCTGTGACAGCCCAGGGGCAGGGCCAGCCAGGCTCTGCTAGAGCAGACAGCAGGGCAAAGGCCTAGCCTACCCACCCTGTGAGAGGGGAGTTGGTGGGGGAGCTGTAAAGCACCCTAGGAAGCTGGAGGATGGTGAGGTAACTTAAGTCAGGAGGGAATCTGGGACACAAGCTCGATAACTGATTTAGGTGAAACCAGTCTAAGTCAGATACTACATCCATCCAGGTTTACCTTAAACCAGTTTCAGCATTTTGAAACCAATCTATGTGCACTGAACTTCTGTTCTGTTACAGGTTTAAACTGGTTTCTAATCACTTATACAGTTTTATGTATGTCTGTCTGTGCCTAGCCTGTATGTTTTTACCTAGCAAGCTTCCTTGTTAATGGGTGGGATCAATTGTTAACTGTATCGTAAATTAATTAGTTGGCAGTTTAAAAATACAAGAGCCTGAGCTTCCCATATAGACACCCTGATAAGTCTCATCTGTCCTGATGACCTTTATTGCAGTTCCTTCTGTTTAGCACATACTTGCTGTACTGCTGCATCTCATTTGCTCTACATTTCACTTACATTCTCAGCCATGGACCCATTTTATACTTTGCCCATCCATCCTAATACCAATGAATGACACAGAAATCCTATTTAACTATGTATTTATTAGTATGACATTGCTGACATGGTACAGTATGTGGTATAAAAATATTGCATTGTAAACTTTTGTGTAGTAAAAAACAAGTTCTCTGAGCATCTATTAGCAAGCCACGGCATCTTCTTAACAGGACTGTAAGAAGGGCAAACAGCTCTTTCTTCAACTTTGCACAAAATGTAATGTAAATGTACAACAAACTTGAGAGAGCTGGCAATGATGGAAGACAGAAAATTTTCATGGATCGTGCACAACTGATGCTAACACAACAAGAATGCTATGCTAACCTCTCAATATGTGTTCTATTACTGTCCAAAGAGAGAAGTCACATAAATGTTTGAAGTATTTGACCATTCCAAAAGTATAATTCATACCCAACAATCAGAAAAATAAAAGCATGAGAACTAATGGGGAAGTACAGAACAACAAAAGAAACTGTTATCCTTAAGCATCTCAACTGCAGAATTTGAAAGGTGGCATTCAAAGAAAATATATGCCTAAGCTTGCATCCATTTTTGCTGCTTTGTGATGTAGGAAGATAGCTGACAGCAGAGGAACTGCTTGCTTTTACATGAGAAAGTTACATCTCTGCATTGAAAGATTGGGGAAGCCATATAATGAACAAATTTGTGATACAGCAAATATTTGGATACCTGATTGAAAACGTTATCTTTTGTTCAATTTTCTGACTACTTAATTTCACTCAACAGTGTAACAAGCAATAGCAAAAAAGAAGTCTAAGATTAGTAAGACACCATTTCATTTCAGACTCACAGATTTAATAGACATTAGGGCTGGAAGGGACCTCGGAAGATCATCGACTCCAGCCCCTGCCCAAGGGGCAGGAAATCAGCTGGGATCATAGGATCCCAGCAAGATAAGCATCCAAATTTCTCCTGAAGGCGTTCAATGTAGGTGCATGAGCCACCTCCGGGGCAGGCTATTCCAGACCTTGGGGGCTCAGACAGTGAAAAAAATTCTTCCTTATGTCCAGCCTGAAATGGTCTTGCTGGAGTTTATAACCGTTTGACCTTGTCATTCCTTGGGGCGCTCTGGTGAATAATCATTCCCGCAGATCTTGGTGAACACCCCTGATAAACTTATAGGTGGCCATCAGATCGCCCCTGAGCCTGCGCTTTTCCAGGCTAAAGAGTCCCATAGCTCTCAGCCTGTCGTCGTAAGGTCTGTTTTCCTGACATGAGTGTGGCCCTTCTCAGGACTCT